TGAAAACGCGAGGCGCTAGAGAGCAACTATTCATTTGAATGCAAAATACAATTTCACCGCTAGATGGGAGAAATTCCTACACAATGTACCTTTAAAAAATGGCTCACCAGGAGACAAAACAGTGATTCAGTTTTTTTGCTTGATGAGGACACGAAAACAACCTCCAGCAAACATTTACTGACTGAATTGTCCTTGAGTGAGACAGTGAATCCCCTCCAGCTCCAGGGACTGCTATTATGTTGATGACATTGACCTTTGACTCCCGTGTGGAGGGGGGGCTGGAGAAAAGCGATCGATAAAGTATTGATTAAACCCCGCAACCTCTGAGCTGCCGGCTTCATCTGAGCATCAGGATGAATTATAACTCTGTCATCAATATATTACACAACATGTACACACACACAGTGCTGATCATTATTAGAGTCCTGCAGCAACCATTGACATGCATGTAAAAAGCATTAATGTGACTGAGGCAAGGGCACTGACAGTGTACACTGTCAACAAAACATGCATGGACATCAGTTGTAAGAGTTCCAGGACTTTTATTTATTTGTGTATTCATGGCCATGTCAGCCAGTCAGTGAGTCGATCTGTCAAACACTTGTTATGGTCCCCAGGGGATCAAGCTTATCTTTTTCTATTAACAGCCAATGGGAAAACATTCTATTGTAGTAATAGCCAGTGGTGGAAGGCCATTAAGTACCATTTACCATTTACAAAAAATCAGCCGCAAATTAATCTTCTGCTTCAAATAAGACCTCAAAGCTACAGAAGCAGAGAACGGCCGTACTTGCACTTATTTTTTAAGGCTGTTATCTCAAGCAATGCATGTTCCTCTGTGCATTGTTCATGCTATTGAACCAATGCTACATCTAAAATACGCCATGTATGCATGCTGGCATGGCAGTCCTGATCTCTCATAAACGTATCTTAATCATGGGTTTATTCGTTATTTCGCGATAACAAAGCTTTTCTTATAATAATGAGATAATTAACTGGTGATATCCAGATAACGACATTAAAAAATATATATCATCAATCCTGGCTGTTCTAGGCTTTTTATCATTTTTATCACGATAACATTGTTAGGTAAACAGCATACTCAGTCCAGCCTTCAACACTTTAATTTTAATTTCAAAGCATTACACACTCCAGATCTGAATCTGGTTAAGCATCACTGGTCACATCCTTAACTGATTGTCTTTGATTAGTACACTTTTCTCACTGAGGGTGTGTCTTCACTTGTGAAGTCAGTATGCTTCACATAACCACCCTGTCGCTCCTGAACCGCCTGTCAGCCCAGTCTGGCCTCAGCACAGACCTGTTCTCCGCTGCTGCCACCGGAGCCAACGTTTACTCAATGACAGAGGAGCCAATTATTAATCAGCATTCCCTCTATAAACCAGATTATCATCAGTGTCAAGGGCAGTGAGCAGCAGGCCGTGTGCATCTGACCATCAAATATATCAAGACTCCAGCTAGAGAATGAGTGCTGATTGTCAGGAGGATTACTGACTAGCTGCAGGTTCACAATAGTATGTTATTATGCATTTTTAGCTGGTTGGTGAACAGAACAGAATTGTATTGTTATTTCAGTTTTGAAGTTTGTTTAAAGTTTGTGCATTAGGTCTGTGTTCTTAATTGAACATTTAAGTTTCTGCCTATAAACTGTGCAAAACTTTTTGTTTTTTGCACTCAGGTCACACCATGAGCTTAATAATGGAGTTAAAAAGAAGCTTTACAGTAATGCCTTGTGATCGGAAAAGTCTGTACAAATCCAATAATCGGTGGGATTAAATTGGCAACTAAATAAAGTCAGCATGACGTTAAAGAGTTAGCAGCTAGCTATTGTGTAACAAGTTATCTTCATTTAGATATCTTTAGGTGTGTCCTAAATCAGTACTACATTCTAACGTTATACTCTACAGCAGTTGGTCCCAACCCTTTTCATTAAGAGACCACTTTTCTATCATTTAGTAAACTGATAACCCCTGACTGACAGATTTTATGGATATTTTATATTATATTCAAAACTGTACAATGAACCCAAACAGTGAACTCAGTAACTGCAAGAAGTTTGTGTAAAATAGTGATATTCTGAAGCTTATTACAGATTTATTTTCTGTTACAATTCTCTGTCTTTATATGTCATTTTTACAATCATACAGATTAATAGCTTCTTTTTTGACAAATTCAGTGTTTTCTGGTCTTAATGGCTGGATTTTATTAACATTTCTCTTTTACATTTCTTTTTCTTCACAGAGATTGACAAATGCTGGATTAGCCTCTGTGGATATGTTTTATGTTTTCTAACACCTTAAACAAGAACTTTGGGTCCCGGTTAGTCAGTGGGGTAGAGCTGGGGACCCATCGTCTCAGGCTTGCAGTCCTTGATGCAGGCCCAGGTTCGAATCCGACCTGCGGGGCTTTGTTCATTGTATCCCCTCTCTCTGCCCCCCTTTCCTGTCTATCTTCAGCTGTCACTATAATAAAGGCAATAAAAGCCCCAAAAAATATACTTTAAAAAAAAAAAAGAAAGCCTTGTGAACCCCCATGAAGATTTGGTAACCCCTAGCAGAGACAGGACCATGTCATTGTTTTGCAAGTCTCAGGTCTTTGCACTCAGGACTCAAGTCCTAAACCTTGAGTTTTGTGTCCTAAACAAGTTATAATGCGCCACATTCACTAATATATATCTAAAGAGGTCATATTATACTCTTTTCCAGGTCAATACTTTTATATGGGGAGTCTGCTTGAATAGGTTTACCTGGTTTAATGTTCAACAGCAATGTGCAGTTTCATACCGCGTCTATGCAAACAAAATGCTCTTTGGCACAATTTCCTTTTTTACTGCCGCTCAGTAACGTAACGTTAATTCTTTATGGTTCTCTCCTGCAACTTGATTGGATGCTGTTGGACTGTCTATCTAGTGCTTGTATGTTTAAACTAAAAAATCTTCAGTGTTTCTCTAGTGTTTAGTTTTTGAGAATACAGATACTGTATGTCTCAGAACAAAACATTGCGATACGATATTTTTCAATATGTTCTTACACCCCTAAATTAGACCAATTAATGTGCCCCGAAAACTGCAACATAAGTACTATAATATAATATAATAATAAATAATAATAATATAAAAGTGTAGAGTATCACCAAAAAGAGACACAAATAACCAAAACGTAATACAAAAAGTATCATAAAGCACTATAATATGTGTTAGCACATTACTAAAGAAATAGAAAAACATTTTTTGTGACTGACTTCATGTAAGGAAGTGAGTGTGTACCTGTTATTCCCATCAGTGGAACTATTTTTGTGCAGCGACATACCAAAGTGGTGTTTCTATCATAAATCAAATCCTTACATAAATTATCAATACACAGGACTGTGATGGAAGTGCAATGAGCCACACCTCATGACTCAGCTGGGTGAAGAAGACAGAACTGTTCCAGTTGTAGCTTGTTAATCACACCCAAATGTAAATGGGTGTTTGTGTGTGTGTGTGTTTGATCATGTTGGTGTTGATGGGTAGGAGATGTGTTTGTACAGCCTGTACGATGTTAGAGACAATATTTGTGGGCATGAAAGCCAATAAATATTTATGATCATTTCATGTATTGATGTTTAAGAGATAGGAAGTATCTAACAGGGGAGTGCGTGACTGGCAGTGTTGTAGTAAAGACCAAGTCCAAGACCAGGACTAATTGAATCCAATCTGTAAATAATATTAAGGAGGAGTACAGTTTGACCTGTTCTGTATGAAAAGTGCCCTGACATAACTTCAGTTATAATTTGGTGCTATATAAAAAAAAAAACTGAATTTAAATTGAATTAAAGCTTAATGCAGAAGTGTTTTAAACATTAAAAATCTATTACATTTCAACATTTTCCTAGTGAAAGAACAAATTTTGGCACCTTACGTCTGTCTGAGCAGCTAAGCAAATTTAGCACTTGCTTGTCAGATGTCGGACCATAGCAATTGCCAAAATGACAACACATTTTAATGGTATTTTTTGTCTTCCTCTTTAGTCAATAGTTCTGGTGACGTCCCTGTTGTAACCATGGCGTCCCGGGTGAAGCAGCCCCAGGGGGGTGGCCTGTCCTCTCTATTTTCCTGCTGCTTCAAAAGTAGTGAACCACCAGAGATCACCTACTGCCATGATAACACTACCACTATGGCTGTACTGGAGCCCACCCTGCCCATGCCCCCCCCTAAAGAGCTGGACTCTATTTTCACTGAACTGGTGGTGAGTACAAGACCAGAGTCAATGATCCTATTGTGCCTTCAAACACCCAGAATTCCTTCCTCATTCTCCCTCTCCATCCTTTCTCTCTTGTATCCTAGGATGAACTGGACCTCTCAGAGGAGCACAGAGCTGCCATGTTTGCTTTGCCAGCAGAGAAAAAATGGCAGATCTACTGTAGCAAGAAAATGGTAAGAAACTACAACTACAGCAGCCAATTTACTTGTTGCTAGCACTCAAGAGTTCAATATACTCAACAAAGCGTCATACAGTCCTAAGTCCGATAGTATGCAGGTCATTCTCAGTGAGTCCGTCCAGCTCAACGCACCAAACTAAGATCAAACTGTCAAACTAGGCAGTGCTGATCAAATATGGATTCAGATTCTGTTACTGAAACATATTTTAGTGTACTCTTTATCTGGAATACAAAAACCTGTGTGACCAGGTAAGCTGCCATATTCTCCTATGGACGAGTTGAAACCAAGCGCAGCCAATGAGAACAGCTCAGCTCAGTATGTCACCTCCGCTGGCTGTAAAAACCGAAATGGTGATGGTATAAAACCAAACTCAAGGCTCCAAAACGGTACTCCACAAACCAATGGGTAGCATCACAATAGGTTCACACTTGGTCCGAACACAGCTTAAGTGTTTATACCTGTTCTAGACTGAAAATCCTGATCTCAGAGATAGGTGAGAAGTGATAAATCATACAAACGGGGATAATGATTAATACTTTCAGACAGTCTCTCTCAGACAGTCATGGTGTCGGACCTGGTTGTTCACATTAAAAAGTGGCAGAAGTAGTTGGTTAAAGAATAAAGAAGAGAGCTTGAAGGTTATCACCTCTACCAACAGCTGTGTGAAGTGGATGTGAATGTCGTATTGTTAGTTTCAGGAAGTTGCCCATTTTCAATGGAAAGGAGGAAGGTGCTTTGTTGATGTTGATCTATGATCAGACAAGTATTTAGTTTGAAGCATACTGAAGTCTTCACATTCCTCAAGAAACAGACAACAGTGTCCTGGCTATTAAACAACACTACTGTAGTTGTAGATGTAAATGGCTAACAATCTAACTTACACAGTCTGCAGATTGAGTAGTTTTATTCTACAGTACAGTTGTACAGTTTCTACAGTAGCCCATATGGATAAACCAAACACTGGCTTTCATGTGTTTTTTGCAAATTTTGCAGCCACCATAGTTTCTCCTCCACACTTGGAAGGCGAGTGGTATTTAGGTGGTTGCAGTACACAACTTCATCACTAGATGCTATTAAATCCTCCACACTGGTCCTTAAAGCAACTGACAAAGAGAGGCACCTGGTAACTCACCTGTGTCCCACGTGCCAGAGCTGGCCCGGGTTCCAGCCTGTGGCCCTCTGCTGCATGTTGTCCCCTCTCTCTCTCCCACTTTCCTGTCTCTCTACAGCTGCTACTGTCAAAAAGAAGCACAAAAAATAATCTTTAAAAAACCCCAAAAAAAGAAATCTAAACCTATAAAGGTCCCTTCAGAATCCTGTGGGGGCTGGATAGATTTCGATAAATCCCAATATGATGTTACCAACTATAAAATAGTGGTTTATGATTATGCACCCAAAGTTTTTTGAAATTCTTAAATTTACAAATCTCCACAACATCTGCCACATATCATATATAATGCATTATTTTTTTGGGAGATGCTGCATTTGTTGTCTGGTACTGTACGGGTGAGTATATTTATGAGCCTGACCTCTGTGTCTGTATATGTGTGGGTATTTCAGGAGGCAGAGGAGAATAAAGGAGCAACCAGCTGGCCAGAGTACTATATTGACCAGCTCAGGTCCATGGCTGCTGTGAGTAACGCTCTAAAGTCTGTTTTCATCCCGCTGTTTCCAGTTTATCCACAGACTTTGCTTTATCACCAGTTTTCTTTGTAAGACTGGCTAATATTGAGGATATTTAGAGCTATTTTGAGTAAATGTTTTTTAAAAACTCAAAAGCTGGCACCCCCTTGCAGTAGCATTAAAAGGGACACTGTGCCGCTGACAATGCAGACCAACAACCACAATCATTGTACAGATGTGGGGCTTTTTGTTTGATTATTTTCATGATAGATATTGTCATACATATATTGATACATCTTTGTTTTGAATAATAATGTTAATGCAAATGGAATTACAGCTTTTTGTAACTTAAAATCATCTATCATCTATCCTATATTATAAACTTTTGGTTCTAGTGAGGCCAAACTCTTCCCATTATTGCCTCTGAGTGAGTATGCATCTGATTTAGAATTGTAGTAATGAGGGATTCTTTTGTTTAATCCCTCTTTTCCCAGAGGAGGACTCTGCTGGCACTGGAGGATGAGGAAGATCAGGGAAGAACTAAGATCGTAGATGGTCTAAAGACGGCACTGAGGACCCAGCCAATGAGGTACAACCTCTAACACACATGTTCTTCTGAAAATGTCGAGATTTTCCAAAGCTGGGTGACCTAAGGAATAACCTTAACCTGTCATTCTGATTCACCTCCCCGAGATTTGTGACACGATTCATTGAGTTGGACGGACTGTCTTGCATCCTGAACTTCCTCAAGTCAATGGACTATGAGACCACCGAGTCTCAGGTCCACACCTCACTGATCGGCTGCATCAAAGCTCTAATGAACAACTCTCAGGGCAGAGCTCATGTCCTGGGTCACTGTGAAAGCATCAGTATCATCACACAAAGTCTCAGCACTGATAACATCAAAACCAAGGTACATAGGCCCAAACTTAATATATTCTTAATAAATATTTGTAATATTCTTAATATATTGTATGTACTATTCTGTTTTTTCCTATAACATATATAACGTATATGTAACAAAAGTAATTTCCCTCTGGGATTATTAAAGTATGTCTGATTCTGATTCTAAAAAAAACCTCTCCCACCTACATTTGAGATGATACAAAGACTACACAAAGACTAAGTTGTTGCTCCTTCCCTTGGATAATATACTCAAGTCTCAACTTAGTTTAAAGTTTGGATTTAATGATTTTGTTTCGGATCAGTTTTTTAAAAATGATTTCTCCACAGTTTCTATAACTGATCATTATTCCGTCTGTCCTCAGGTTGCAGTGTTGGAGATCCTCGGTGCAGTGTGTTTGGTGCCAGGGGGCCACAGGAAAGTACTAGAAGCCATGGTACACTACCAGAAATTTGCCTCGGAGAGAACACGCTTCCAGGTCTGCTTCTGTTCTGTTCATTTGTGTGTGTGTTTGCTTCCTTTTATTTCCTGCAAAGGACGATGCAAGTATGGATAAAACAGATTCTTCTAGTCTCTTCACAATAAATACAAATGTCAAATTATGGTATTACAGTTTTTCTCAATTGTTTACACACAAACACTGGTACT